ACACCTGCAATTTTGCTGTGATTTAAGCCTGTCCATGCAGCAGTATTAATAGCATTCCTGGGAGAGAAGCCATGATAGGCAAGTCTGTCAGAAAGGCTCCTCACAGAGCTTTGAAAACGCTGCTCTCTGTGATGCAAATGCTGATCCAGTGCAAACATGCTGTGCTGGCTCAAAGTTATTTAAGAAATGTTGACATGCATCAGTTTTCACAAGGAGAATGTGTGCTGCATCGGTGTCCTCTGTCCTTCTGCTGCTTAAGTGGAGTCAGAATACAAGCATGATGTGAGTGCAAACCCCATCCCTTATGGTGATGGGTTGCCTTTGATGGAGATCCTCTTCTGACCGCACTGGGATCACACTGGGATTACCAGGGGTGGGCCAGCACTGTCCAGAATGGTGTCTGAGGATGAAGGCACCATGGCAACAGCTGGCATGAGTATGACACTGCTAGTGGCTTCTCTTCCTCTTTCTCCTTTTTCCTAGTGTTTCTACTATTTTCTCCTGTTTTTCTACCATTAAGACCAGTTGCTGATTTAGTCCCCTTAGCAGGTTCTCAACTAATTATCCTCAAGTAATTGTCCTATTGAATTTATATAAGAATTTTAAATTAAGATATTATCATCTTGCCAGCCCCTCGGTAGATTACCTGTCAGTGCACAGAAGTGTTATTGCAATCAATTCCAGTGCACAAATAGTTGAATTATCCCTGAATTAATGTACAAACTCTCTGACAGAGGAGAACACAGATCCAGTACACATTTATTTGTGCTTTAAATTTTACTGCCATTCAAAGCTAATCTAGTTTACAAAAGCCTGACAAGTGCAGAGGTGTGCATTACTGTAGGGATGTGCTTTAGTCTTAGGGACTCCAGTATTTCCAGCAGTACCTCTGCATTACTCTTGCATGTGCATTCTACACATGATGAGTAATGTATCCCACTGCACATTTACAACTGAGGGGAGCCTTCCTTTAAATTTTGACAAATAGGTAGGAAGAAAGTACAAACATATTGACAAGAACTACTTCAAGTCCTCCTTAGTTGCAAACTTTATAATAAGCTGACACGAAAGCACAAAATATTTAGTCAGCTCAGAGCTCAAGTAGCACAGCACATTAAAACACTTGGGATCATCTAATGAGAAGTGGTTAAGTCAAAACTCCACACCAGCGGTGGAGTTTGTTTTGTGTTTTCATTAAATACATGTCAAATATCTTCTGTGGAGCTTTTGGCATAGGACCAGATTCCTGTCTGGTATGAGCTGAAACCACCACACAAACTATTCTCAAGAGCTCCTACTGGTCTTCTGCTTCTTGCTCTCCCTTCAAGGAAGAAACCCTGTAGTGGAGCATCATGTTATTTTCTTGTTCTACTCTCTTGACTGAGTTTCAAATGAAGCCAACAAAGCAGACAGCATTATTCCTGAAGGTATTGTTTAGACCTTTACCCTTATGTTCTGCCTTTTCTGTGTTGACTGCTGTGGTACTGCGGTACCCAGTCCCGGGAATGAGAGAGAGAGTGTGTGTGTGTGTGTGTATGTGTGTGTGAATGAGGTCACAGTCCTTCCAGGATCTGTTCTCACAAGCCAGACTTCAAGTTCTTATTGCCATTTGACTCATAGAGAGTTTCCTTCTATCATTAGGAGCAATGACTCCAGGTGTGGTTGAGCAGGGAAGCACAGTGTTGCAGGCTGTCCTGTGGCACATTAAAGCACAAACCCCATGCTGACATGGTCTGGCTACCCGTGTTCATATCGATGATTCCCAAGAGTTGTGTGGGGGAAGTCACTGCTCTTAATAGTCCAGGACCTTTGGCCAGCACCTCATGTCAATAGTCTCTGAATGCTCCTATCACTCACCAAGTCATATAGAGGGACAAATCTGTATCCATTTAATCTGTAAGCAGCTGCCTGACTCCATCTGCATATGACTCCAGATTTAAAAAGAGATTTGTGTTGTGAAGTTTAGCCCATGCACGCTACAGGGTATTTCTAACAGAAATAAATCCCACTTTTCTTCAGTCAGCAAGGTTATTTTGGACAATTTTGAGCATAAAATCTGAAGAGTTTTAACCCCTCTTCTAGGTCTTGCAATCCCAGCACAGCTCAGATAAAGTGGAAGGAGAATGATAAATATTCTGCATTGGTAAAAACGCTGGAAACAGCCTGAATTTCAATCTCCTTCTTGTTAGATTCAAATTAAGTATTTTGAGATATCCAGATCGTTTATTAATCTTGAAAATAAAGCTTAGAAAATTACATCTCATGCTTACAGTGGCATTGGTATTTCCTTTAAGCTTCTTGAAAAATTAGTCTGTATTTTGAGAAGAAATTGTAAAATTGTGCTTATTTTCACTTGAAAAATAAGATCCTTAAAAACATTGATTGCCTCATTATCATTCAAAAATGGCTCTCTCTGTGAATGACTCTCTCTATGAATGAAAGCCAGTTTTAAATGGAGTGTTCCGAAACATTAGAGTAATTATTGACACAAGAAAATAAATATTCACATACTGAAAAGTAAACAGGAAAGAGGAGCATTCATTCTTTCCATGGAATAATTTAGCACATTCTTGAGTGGTAATTGGGTGCACAAGCCAGTGTAACACTGCATGCATACACTGAGGTTTATCTCTGTGAAATGTTTTTGAAATCATTACTTCTGTATCAAACCCTGAGGTGCAGGATGTGGAGGGAGGGAGGGATGGAGGGAAGGAGAAGAGGGGTCATAAAGACAGTGTGTACACAGGGTGTATTTTTGCCTCTGTGCAGGAGCTCTGGAGCATGTGTTCAGTGGGCTGAAAAATGACTCAACAAAACCATGAATTTTTTTCTTACATTTTGGGCAGTGATGCCAGTCACTTTAGTCTGAGTGTGGAAGCTGTGCTTATATTACTGAAATTCTACTCTAGACCTTTCAAATATATGAATCATATCCACATATGGGTTTCTGCTTCAGCATGATGTTTTTATTCATTAATAGCTTCATTATCTTGCTAGCTCATGGTCCTTTTTCAATGTTGAAGTCAGGAGTCATCATTTTTCTGACAAACTGTCTGATGTCTCTGCATGACTTGACTTGTTCACCTGCCTCAGACTCCTAAGATGGCACAGGCCCAGGACAGAAGGGGTCAGGGGGCCTCCTCGGGTGGGAAGGGGTTAATTGCAGACCTGCCAGAGCATCTTTTGCACAGCTGCAGGGCAGAGACACCACTCTGTAAGGAGGTCCTTCTGCAGGTGTACTGCAGGTACAGAGGGCTTTGACATTACCACAGGAGCCTGCACCTTTCCAAGCACTAACACTGGCACATGAAGGAGCATTATAGCTGGGGCCCTTTGTTCAAAGCAGATTTCTTTTATTTTTTTAAAGATTCTTAAAGGTTCAAAGGCAATTTTTCCATTGGATCAAAGTACAACCATTTTAAAGAACTGTGCAAAGCTTGATGTAAATTTTTAGAGTATAGAACAGGATTTTTGTTTAAGATAGTATATGGAACCCAGTGCTTAGAGGTCTTCATGGTCCCAAGTTTCTTTGCTTTCTTTAACCCTGGTTATTTGACTCTATGTCTTCCATGTTTTAGGTTGATTACCTGAATGGTTTGGCTGTCAAGGAGTCAGAGGTTGTCTATCTTCTGTGTCTTGCAGGGGTGTTTTCATTACTAAATGAAAAAAAGCAAAAAAACCCTCACACTTGTCCCAGTGTGGAAGAAATCTGAATGCTGGTAACTTTCTTTTGAAGCTGAATTTTGTTTTCTGGATGCCTACGGGCTTTAAGCTCTTCAGTTTGGAATTTCATCAAGTTACAGTTCAGCGAAGCAATTAAGCAAACAACACCATTGAAGTTAATATTTGCTAATTCTGTGGGCTAAAATACATGAGGCCATGGTGCATTTAAAACAAATTTTAAAAATAGCTTTAATACAAAGGCAGCTTTGCAATACTAAAAAAAGTCAGGATATTCCACCACCTAACATAGAAAGACACTTGTCTCCTAGGAAGGAGGTCTCCTTCTGTATATTCAGATCCTCCTGCTTTGGCAGGATCTAAAGGTGAATCCACTTGACTTCTCCACAGCCTGGTAACCAGGCTGAGAGCTGTGTCAGGCAGTGCTGGCATACAGCCCCCACCAGCATCAGACATGAGGACATGCCTGACAAAAGATATCAGGAGTGACAAGGGACCCCACTGCTCACAGAACTGGGAAGACAAAACCAGAACTAAGTTACATACAGATTTATAAACTTTTGCCATCACCTGACCACAACCTTTTGCATAAAGAATTATAGACTCTCCCTGCCTTTGACTTGCATGAGACTGTTGTACCAAAGGGCTGTTACTCAGAGGTGCAGCAGTGGTGCCCTGTCTGCTGTAGCTGTCTCATGTAACCCTCAGCCTCTCACAAAAAATGCTGAGACACCCACTCAACAGATGGCTGCTGTGTGACTGCTCAGACACAGACACAGACTCAGCTCCTGGCTGTGCTGCACATCCATGGGAGGATGGGGGTCTAGCAGCAGGCAGGGCTGCCAGCCTGCGCTTTCTCAAGTACTTGTTTGGCAACAGCTGAGCTTGTTCTCTCACTTACACAGCAAGAATCAGTATGGGTTTGGATGGGCTGGCTTTGGGTAGACTTGAAGGGGAACTTTTCACATGTTTGAAATGCTCTGTCTGGGACAAGTTGAAACCACTTAAAGTCCCCAGACGTAGGAGAGTTGGCAGGGAATTTGTTGACACATCAGATTATATAAGCACTTGGCAGCTTTTCTGTGTGTGCATGGGTGTGTTGTGTATGTGTAGGAGAAGAATAGCAGTGGACCAGACCAGCGACCATGATGCACAGGCACCCCATAATAACTTCCACATGCTGAACTGTCATGTTAAACTGCAGGAGATGGAGGGGAGCGGAGGACGGAGGCACAGCTTGATTTTTACCTTCAGCAAAATTCCACTTTAGTGTGTGTGGGTGGACCTGCCATTTAGTTAAATGCAACAGGGCTGGACTTGGCTCCCTCAGTTCCAGGGTGGTATCTCATCTGTTAGCTGGTCCTTGTGATAACACCTAATGGGAGCAGGATTTATACTGGCAGATTGAGGAAAAAAGCTTCAGAGATTGTGCCTTATGTCCACATCAGTGGAATTTTAGGTAAGCAAGGGAGGCAATTACTTTCTGGGTCCCCAAACACAATGGTGAGCCTGCTCAGATGCATGAGCTGGGTGTCCAGGTCCTCAGGGAGGTCTGATACATGGGATGTTGGAGTGTCCAGGGTGGGGACAGCAACTAAGCCTGAACTTTTTGGAAAGAAACTCAGTTTCTTTGCAAATAAATTAGGATTTTTACTCATCTATCTGCCAGAATAATTGTGATTAAATGGCTTTGAAGGAGTTAGAAGGATTAGAACACTAAAGCATTTTCAAGTTGGAAATTGCCATTCTGGGCTAATTCAATGACAAAATCTTTGTGGATCAAGTGGATGAATGACTTGGGAAGATACTATAATGCTCTAAGAAACAAAACAAAGTGAGGAGACAGAAGCCTGAAAATACAAGAGGAATACAGCTCTTGAGAAGCCCTCCTAGGTGAAGCCTCCCAGAACTTCTGTGGCAATTTGACAGAAATCTGAGGCTTGCCTCAGGGGGGTGGTCTTGCCTCCAAAGGGGTGATTGCACGGGCTGGTGATGAAACTCATTCTCACATGCCAGTACAAGTCCACAGGATCACTCCTTTGATCCTGTCTATCAGGCAATGGATGTACATTTAGGGCCAGACTTTCAGAGCTGGGAGCAGCCACAGCTGTAGGTGTCACATCCAGGACCTGAATAGCTGAGCCCAAACACCTGGGGGTGGCTGATGGCTGCAGCGGGCCTTGGGTATGAACCTGTGTGCTCTAAAGGAAGAAGGGATTGAACTGAGAGCTGTCCTGTGGTGGCCACAGTGCAAGGGCCAGGAGAGACATTTTTGGAGCTCCTCAAGGACAGCCTGGTGCCACTGCTTCCCTCTGCGCTGAGCCTTGGGCTGGTCTACATTGCCTGAGTGCCTGTCCTATCATTCAGCACACAGCCCTCATTCTCTCAGCTCTGCAGGGATCAAGCAGTCTGTCCCAGCCTTCGTCACTGTGTCATGGCTCCCTCAAAAGTGGAATGTGTGTTGAAAAAAATAGGATCAACCTATGAAAGTAATTCACCCTTTACTAACAGAAATGTGTCTGGCAGATGTTCATATTGCTGATTTTCTCTCCACTGTTGCAGAAAGAACATAGATTATCATTTTAGGCCAAAGAAGTTAAATTGTCTGAAATGCCTGGCTCTGAGTCTGTCTGTTCAGGGGTGTAAGAGGTAGATAAAGTCTTCAACAAACTTAAGAACTTTTCCAGTACTCTTAGACTACCTTCATGTACATTAATGGCCCACTGATTTCCCTTGGATTTACTTTAAATGCTTTGTCAGTCTTGGGTTAAATAGAGTACAAAAGATTGAACTTGGTTTAAAGGCCTTTTATAAGCTTGTGTGGGACTTTTGCTATATAACTTGACTTTCCATTTGTAAAAGTGTCTGTAGCATTTATTCACAGAAAAAAAAATAAATTTGGGAGGAAGAAAGTTTTGGGTTGAAGAGGTTATTTGTCCACAGTTCTCATAGACTTATTAAGTTGAAAAGCTTACCAAAGGTCCTTATGTTTCCCAGAAATTGTTGCATGGAGGAGGTTGAAGGCATGCACCTATCTAGACAGACCCCTCACTTTATAACTGTTTTAGATTTATGAAAAACAGTTTTAAAATTTCCTCTCTTGTAAACAAGTCAGAAAAACAGCTAAGTATTTTGGCATCCCTGCTGTCTGTGGAGTAGTTCAGAGGCTCTTTATGTGTTTTTATGGAAGATTCTGGTTACAAATGTTTTTTGTAAGTCTCAATGATTCCACCTAGCAGTAAGGTCCTGTCAGCTTGACAAAGACTCCACTTTGAGTTCATTTGAAAAGAGGATGACCCTTAAAGACTTATTCAACTTTCTCTCTCCCTGCTTGTGAAACAGGCATTGCGAATAGCTCGGAGTCCAGGAAAAGACACACAGTTTTTCTAAATTCATGGGGCTTGCAGCAGCCCTTCCCTGGCTTACCCAGCACACATCATATACAGAAGAGATGTTGTCCCTCTGCAATTCAGTGTCATTTTAGTCTGTCTTTGTATTGATTACATTTCACATTGTGTTCTACTTTAATAATCCTCTTTTTTCAGGATCTTGTGATTGTACAATAGCAGAGTTTATCCAGTCTAGTCTTTTTTTAGTCTTTTTTTTTTTTTTTCCCAGAACACGGATTTTCTTGTCATATTGCACTGTGCTCAGGAAAGCGGAGCAAAGGGACCTAATCTCCATAATATTAATTTATCTGTGCATTGAGAAAACAAAAGCAGCAATAAATCTGCACATGTTAATTTTTTGTTTGGTTTTGAGGTTTTTTTGTTCAACAATCCCAATGATTTATGTAAGGAGTTCCTAGGCAAAGGGGAGGGAGAGGGAGCCTGTGGTCTCAAGTTAGCAGTGGGTCATAATGTATGGAGAAGGGATAATGCAAATGCTGAAAAAATAGAGGAGAAGGCAAGATAAAAAAGTGCTTTCCCTGATAAGAAAGCTATTAAACATTTAGCTCAAAGGGGCAGACAGTATGTGTGCAGCTTCCCTGGACGTTTCCTGGAAAATCAAGGGTAAGAAAAAAGGAGGGTGTAAGGAGGATGCTAAGGGCTTGGAAAAGGGTTATACCTGGCAGAGCTGTGGAAAAAAACCTGAATACAGATGTGTGCTCTAGAAAGCAAGACCTGGCACAGGAACCCCCTCCCCACCAGACACTAAATTCTTTGTTTTCCAGACCCTTTCTGTCATGGAAAATTTCTGCTCCTGATTTCTCATACAAACCTTTCCTAACTCACTGGAGGGAAAGGCAGGTTACAGCTGCTGCCTGGGTGGATGCCACCAATTGAATCAGAGGCCACTGGAGTTGAGAGCATCCCTGCTTAGAGCTTGTGCTGATTGAGCTTTGCTGTCTCACACCCTCCAGATAGATACACAGTCCAAACCAAGCACTGGTTACTGGTGCCCAGTGCATGCCCTTCCCAGAGCCAATGTGAACCCAAGGATACACTGCAGCAGGAACTGTGGTTGAGGGTGTCAAGGGCTGCTGCTGCAGCAGTTTGCACCCATGTTGCTCCCTACAGGGTCCTGGGCATCCTTTGGCCTCACAAATCCTTTGGTGCCCTCCCGCTTCCCCCTGCAGATGAGACACCTGCTTTGTTTTCCCCTGCCTGCTCCACTGTGAACCAGGGAACAGGGTAGCCTACCCATGGTGTGGAAAGCAGTGTTTTGTGTGATGAGAAAAGGTCTTGATAATTTTGTCTTTATAAATTTTATGTAAATATTTATATGTGCTCTTTTTTGCTTCTAAGAGAGGTGTATATTCACATGTATGATCTTTGTCATAGCTAAACCTCTCTGCTGGAGAAGCAAAGGATGGTGGATCCAGAAGATACTAAAGAACAAGATCCACTAAGGACCAGTGTTAGTGAGGGCACCTGGGAGTAATATAGGAGTAATCCAAGACTGACACCAAGCCTCTTACTTGGAGTGTAAGTGGCATGATTGTCTCTGCTCTCAGAGTCAGTGCTGTGCAAAAGAGCTCTCCTGAGCAAGCAGGTGGTCTGATCCTGCACCCCAAGCCAGTCTGTTGGGTGGTCACAAAGCACAGGGACAGACCCACACGAGGAAATCCAGTGGGAAAGCTCAGACCTTGGTGTCTCAGAGGAGTGATCACTGCTCAGTCACTCTTTGGGCTATTTCCTGGATATCAAGGACTTTCAGGTGCATATCCCACATTTTTCCAGGGTGGAAAATAACATGTGTTGAAAGGAAGTTCCACAGCCTCTAGGATACCTGGTGTGTTTTAGAAGCAATGAAATGGTTAACAGGCCAGGAACTCATTTCCAAGGGACAGGCATTGAGAATAAGCTACTGAAAGTATCTTAGCATAGTACTGAAAATGAGACTTAATGTGGTTGTGGATGCTGCAATGAATAATGCAAGGCAGAGATGGATCTGAGACATCTGAAAGAAACTCACCAAGACAAGCTCATGGCTCTGGGAACAGAGTCCAGTCACGAGGCATCGCTGCTGCAAGTCTGCCTGCGAACAGCACTGCTCTGCCTGTTCACCTCAGCACACCCACAGAGGGCTCAGCAAGACCTGGCTCCACATCCCACAGTGTGAGAAGTCATGGAGTCTGGTGGTAGGAAGGAAAGGGTTAGGAGAGTCTCCATGCCTAGCTCTCCTACTTGTGTAGACTTGTTTTAGAGTGCCCCAGTGTCACCTGTAAACCCAGATATGTGCGTGAGGCAATGAGTGCTTTGGGATTTTTGACAAGAAAAAAAGAATAATGTTGTTACCTCAACATTACTCTAATAATTCTCTTTCTGTCCTGCATGTATATATCTGACATATACCTGCAGTTTCTCATTTTCCTACTGTAACTTGTCAGTATCTCACTTTTGTGTGTACTGCTCTGCGAGAGTTCCTCAGTCCATTGCTGATATTCTCCTCTGGTTTCTCTCCTACACCCAGGACCAAACACAGTGTTGGGTATAGAGGCATCTCTAAGGATGGCTGGGGGACGATGGTGTAGGGAGGGTATGGCACTGGTATCTCCTGAGAGCTTGGCCCAGGGAGCACAGGGGAGCTGCAGAGGGAGCTCTTATTGCTGCCAATTGCCTCCACAAAGCTCTGTTACCCTGCTCATCCAACCACATTGCTTCTGTTTGTCCTTCTTTTCTGCCCTGATGCTTTTTGGATGCTTCTTCTAACCAAGATTCTGTATTTGTGTTTACTTTTCTCTCTTTCACATACATGGTCCTAACCCACGTGTCCCCAAGTATTGTCACAGCAGCCAGCCAGAGCAGTCTGTCTGTCTGGAGAGCAGTGAAATGCAAACGGTCCAGACCCATCTTGGTTGACTTTTATGCCCTTCTGTGGCTTTTACACAGGGTTCTTCATTTCCTCACTTACTGCACTTCTTTACTCAGTTTTTTTCTTGTGAAATTGTGTTTTAAGTTTCAGAGGTCTCAGCTGCTTTGAGTGACTGACAATTCCATATTCAATCAAATTATT